TAAACAAGGTAGCTATATCATTCAACTTGGTAAGATGTGCCACAATAGTTTCAGATTCAAGGCCATAAAAAGAATCAGATTCAACTAAAGTAATAATCTCAGGATCAACAAAGAACTCATAATCCTTATCAGTAAAACAAATAGGTGAAGTAGCAAAAGCAGGGTCAGGTTTCATTCTAGCATTAAGAGATTGCTGCTTCCATTTAGCTAATAATTTCTTAAGATCATATCTATCATTGCAAGCAAAGATAGCTCTAGTAGCTTCTTCATTCATAACATAACCCTCAGGAACAACAGGCAATTCATAATCATTGGGAGAATTTTCATCATCACTATCATCAATAATAGCATCTTCAATAATTTCATTCCCTCTAACTCTAGCAAGTTGTTAATCAAGAAATTCACCTAATGGCAAAGTAGTATCATGCACAGAAGTAGTTTCATCATAAGTATCATGCATAGCAGAAGTGGCATCATCAATAACATGTGACATATCAGAGTTCATAGCAGTAGCAGGTTTAGGTGTCGCAAGCTTACTCAAAACAGAAGGAGAATCTAGTGCAAAGCTAGATGGCAGTTCCTTACCTCCCCTCGTAGTTGAGGGATAGATCGTAGTTTTCGCGTCTTTCAAGTTCTTCATAGTGACCAACAGATGTAAATCCCAAGTGACTCAGAGAATAGAGCTATGCTCCCCGGCAACGGCGCCAGAAATTAGTCTTGATAACCCACAAGTGTAGGGGATTGCAACAGCTTTCGAGGGTAAAGTATTCAACCCAAATTTATTGATTCGACATAAGGGGAGCCAAAGAATATTCCTGAGTATTAGCAGTTGAGTTGTCAATTCAACCACACCTGGATAACTTAGTACCTGTAGCAAAGTATTTAGTAGCAATGTAATATGATAATAAAGGTAACGGTAGCAAAAGTAATGTTTTTGGGTTTTGTAGTGATTGTAACAATAGCAACGGAAAAGTAAATAAGAGAAGAACAATATGTGAAAAGCTCGTAGGCAATGGATCAGTAATGGATAATTATGCCGGATGCGATTCCTCATGTAATAGCTATAACATAGGGTGACGCAGAACTAGCTCCAGTTCATCGATGTAATGTAGGCATGTATTCCGTAAATAGTCATACATGCTTATGGAAAAGAACTTGCATGACATCTTTTGTCCTACCCTCCCGTGGCAGCGGGGTCCTAGCGGAAACTAAGGGATATTAATGCCTCATTTTAATAGAGAACTGGAACAAAGCATTAGCACATAGTGAATACATGAACTTCTCAAACTACGGTCATCACCGAGAAGTATCCCGATTATTGTCACTTCGGTGTTGTCGGATCATAACACATAATAGGTGACTATAGACTTGCAAGATAGGATCAAGAACACACATATATTCATGAAAATATAATAGGTTCAGATCTGAAATCATGGCACTCGGGCCCTAGTGAAAAGCATTAAGCATAGCAAAGTCATAGCAACATCAATCTCAGAACATAGTGGATACTAGGGATCAAACCCTAACAAAACTAACTTGATTACATGGTAAATCTCATCCAACCCATCACCGTCCAGCAAGCTTACGATGGAATTACTCATGCACGGCGGTGAGCATCATGAAATTGGTATAGAGGATGGTTGATGATGACGACAGCGACGAATCCCCCTCTCTGGAGCCCCGAACGGACTCCAGATCAGCCCTCCCAAGAGAGATTAGGGCTTGGCGGCGGCTCCGTATCATAAAACGCGATGAAACTTTCTCTCTGATTTTTTTTCTCTACGAGACGGAATATATGGAGTTGGAGTTGAGGTCGGCGGAGCCTCAGGGGGCCCACGAGACAGCGGGCGCGCCCTCCACCCTCGTAGACAGGGTGTGGGCCCCTGGTCTTGATTCTTCGCCAGTATTTTTTATATTTTCCAAAAAGTGCCTCCGTGGATTTTCAGGACATTCCGAGAACTTTTGCTTTCTACACATAAAACAACATCATGGCAGTTCTGCTGAAAACAGCGTCAGTCCGGGTTAGTTTCATTCAAATCATGCAAGTTAGAATCCAAAACAAGGGAAAAAGTGTTTGCAAAAGTAGATACGTTGGAGATGTATCAGTGTACGCCACGTGGCGTGCCTGTGGCGGGCGGCGGCCCTGGGAAGCTTAGCAGGCACGCCACCTGTTTTCCTGCCTTGGAGTTCAAAATCGGCCGACAATCCCGCCTTGTCAAAACCGATTCCAGCAGTCGGCCCATCGCAAGGCGGATCGAACATTCTCCCGGAGCTCAGTGAGGGGGGAAGTCGCTGAGACTTCGCGGCCCCTCGACCACAACGCCTCACCGGCTTCGGGGACTACTGTCGGAGTAATGGGCCACGGGTAGCCTCGCCCGAGTCCCTGAACTTGTCAAGACTTTGGGCCAGCTTCGCCCAGCAGTGTCCCAAGCTGATGCTCCGCCCTTCGGGAGCCGGCTAGCTCAACGGCCGGCCACCAGAGGACGGCCAACCACCTGCAGACGGCACCACGAGCGGCCGGCTCCAGTCAGCCGGCCTCTAGAGAGGACGGCGTCGAGTAGGCGACCACCTGGCGCCCTCAGAGTTTGTGCCCCCATCAAGAGGACAAGATAGGGTGTGGCTACAGTGAAGCCCCTCACCCCCGAATCTTGGGCTTGGCGTGGCCACAGTGCCCCGTACAGGCGGAGATCTTCGTACGACGTGGCACTGTTGCCACTTCCCCCTGACGTCACTCCGGACAGGCGGAGCCCTGTTTCCCATGACGACCTGTCGGTACGGCCCGCAGGCTACGGGCCCTATTGGGCAGCGACACCTCGGAAGACGGCGGATGCCGAACCAGTCGGACCTGGGGAAGGCCGGCCTCCAACAGGCGGCCGTCCCTTCCCTCGAAGCAAGTGCGCCATTAACCTGATGAGACCAGGTGTGGCTACAGTGATCTCCCGCCAGGCGGCGGGACTGTAGCCACACTGAGCTGACCAAGCCCACGTCATTAGCAGCACGGCTACAATGAGCAGCCACCGACTAGACCCGCCAGCGGCGGGAGCGGCCTGTCGGCTCCATACCGGACCAGTCGGCGGGGCCCACCAGGCGGCGGGCCCCAGTAGTCGGCGGAGAAGCCGGAGGCCGGAGACACTGACAGTCGGGCCCAGCACCCGGCCAGATTACCATTGTACCCCTGGGAGGGTAGGCCTATATAAACCCCCCAGGGCACCCATGCAAAGGGTTCCCACTCCATTAGATCTAGACACTCCCCTAGAGCAAGAGAGAGCTAGCCTTGACTTCTCCTACCTCTAGCATACAGCTCAAGGAGCATCTTTTTATCACTTGTGCCTTAGTGATAATGCGGAGAACCCGCAGAGCAGGACTAGGTGTGTTATCTCCTAGGAGAGCCCCGAACCTGGGTAAAGTACACCGGCGTTCGTGTCTACGTCTCATCCCGCTTCCAGGAACCGGCGACGTTCTACTCGCTCTCACCATGATAAGCCATCCATTGGCATATGTCGCACCCAAACCCCCGACAGAATTGCTGTCACTTTATGTTGTTCCCCCTACCATCCTTTTTTGCCTTTGCGGCTGCCGTTTGTGCAGCGGCAATAGCAACAACATTTGGACAATGAGCACAACAGTTGTAGGCACAAAAGGAGGATCCATGCCTTCACCCAGGAACACATCTGAATCAGGGGGCATCTGATCCTTGATGGGAGGCTGGGAGCCTTTGATATAGGATGACGGGAACTAGACCTCAGACAGGACAATGGCCCGAGTAACCTCTTGCATTTGCATGTCATGTCCTACAATCATAGCACCCACATGGATAGTAAGCATAGCACACACTACCAGACCACCTAGCTCAACACAACACGATATGAGCACATACGCCAAGAAGCGTTCTACCAATGTGTCGCAACTAGCTACCAATCATGTGTTCAACACTACGGTACAACCCTAGCATGCTACAAATCCATCAAAAATAGCTACCGCAACATCACATTCTCCCAGATCGGTACTGTACAATGCTGCAAGCTGGTCACAAATCAAACTCTACCACATGCTCTCACATCAAACCCTACCATATGCTACCAGATCTAACTAGAATGAGTCCATGGAAGGGGGTTATTGAACTCGCAGAGGCCATCGTTGCAGCTCGAGTGAGACACAGAACATGTCGAAGAAGAGGAGGACATGAGTCGCCGCCGTCGTAGACCGCCGGCCAGAGAAGAAGCACCGCTTAGCTGCGTGTCGGTGTCGATTCACGTTGGAGGGAAAGCTCGAAAGGGGGGAGAATGATGGCGGGAGTTTCGGCGCTGAGGCGAAGGGTGCTATATAGAGCGACCGAATCGGCGGAGGTAACCCGAAATCCTCCTGCCGATTTTTCGGATATGCGTGCGAGCTCACGCCATCTCCATGGTCGTATGAGCTCCGTGCCGTGTTACCCTCCTCTGCTTCGGCCGAGCCAGTTCCTAGCGGTCTAACTGTGAGATGCTTTAAATATCATACGATGCAGGTCAAATAGTGAATTCGGTAACTAAACAATCCAATTTTTTCCTTCGCGGATTTGGTTGCGATTCACGTGGACAACCAAACACGTCCTTTGTGAGCTGAGCCCCGTATGGAATGCTTGCCCCGACACGCAAACGATTGAACGGAGCTGGGCTGGATGTCACCCCTGTCGCGCGCTTCGTGCGCCCGTTTCTTGTTGCGGCAGCGCAGGTGGAGATCTCCGGCATTAAAGTGCGCCCCCCGGGATCCTCCTCGGCCCCAAACAAAACCATCCTCGTCCCCCGCGCTCCCCAAATCTTTCCCTTCCACTCCGAGACACCCCCCCTCTCGTTTCACATCGCATTCATCGCCCGGTCCGCTCTATCCCCCAGGCCTCGACAGCTACGTTGGTCCAGCCTCGTGCGCGCGCTGGCGCCTCGAACCTCCAGCAACTACTAGTACCAGTTGAGTTTTCCTTGTAGTCATCCTTCTGCTCGGGAGCGCGAGGGAGATCATTACCCATGGGGAGGGCGCCGTGCTGCGACAGGAAGGGTCTCAAGAAGGGGCCGTGGACGCCGGAGGAGGACAAACAGCTCGTCGACTTCATCCAGGCCAACGGCCATGGCAGCTGGCGCCTGCTCCCCAAGCTCGCAGGTCTGTCTCTCCCTCAGATCCATCAGTCCAACCATGACTTGTTACTACTGCTCGTTAGCTCGGTGTTTCTTCTAAGTTCTACTCTTGTGCCAGTCATGGACCTAGCAATGGTGTATTTCGATTTTGGATTACAGTTTTTTTTGCATGCACGGTTGTGTTGCCCTACAAATCGCTATATTTGTTTTGTAAAAGAAGCGGACGAGTAGTAGTTTCTAGTTTGATTGAGCAAGCTTTCGTGGGGAACACAAAAATTTGCACTGTTTTCAATTCTCCAAGAGAGAGAGTTTTGATGTGTGAACTGAACTGGGTGGCGTTGCCTGCAGAGCTGAACCGGTGCGGCAAGAGCTGCCGGCTACGGTGGACGAACTACCTGCGGCCGGACATCAAGCGCGGGCCCTTCACCGCCGAGGAGCAGAAGTCCATCGTCCAGCTCCACGGCATCGTCGGCAACAAGTAAGAGCCCAACCTTAATTTACCTCTTGAGCTAAGCACATTTCGGCACTAATGCAACCAACCTACTGTAGCTCGCGCGCTATCGCCATGAGCTCGGCCCCAGCGTGTCACTGTGTTCTGTCTGTGCACACACACAGTGCTTGCATGGCCCCGTACGCGCGCTCAATGATGCGACCTGATGTAGCATTTCGGACGCATAACTCGTGTAGTCCTATTAGACTTTATTTACAACGAAGTACACATGTTGGAGTCGTATACTCGGTAGTATCAGGGTGAGAGTTAATTGCACAGAAGTACCACAATTCGGGCATCACATGCAGATTGGTACCACGATTGCTAATTTTTGCATGTCAGTACCAACATTCGTCCAAATTTTTGCAAATCAGGCTAAAACGCGTATTTATACGTATTGACAGTGTATCTGACAGTTGGGGCCCGTCTGTCAGGTGCCGACGTGGCATATTTTTTGCAAAAAAACCCCTTGCTTTATACGTAATCACATAAATACCCGTTATTTTTGCGGGAAAAATGTTAACCGTGAGAGAATTTTTTTGTTCGGACTTGTTTGAAAGTTTCCAACGAACTGGACAAATAAATAAAGTGAACCGCGGCACGCGAGCGGATCGCGCTAGCCACCAGGCCACAGCGACGCTTATGTTAAGTTACAGGCGGGTCCTCCTTTATATTATAGTAGCCACGCTGGGCCGGCGGCCGAGACCAGCACTGCTGCGTGCCCTGAATCACTTATTTTTTAATCATAATATTAATATTTTTTTTACGATTACATATTAGTGCACTAAAACAGTGAACCTTTTATTAAAAAATTGATGTGTTTCTCGAAGTGCTAGAATGATTTTACGCAATAAGTTTTTAAAACATGCTGAACATTTTCTCAAATACACATTGTCAAAAAAATTCATCATGTATTAAGAAAATGTTCAACCTATATTACAAAAAAGATCACCGTATATATTAAAAAATGCTCAACCTAAATTACAAAAATATTCATCGTATACATTAAAAAAATGTTCAACCTGAAAGTTCAATATATTAAAAAATGCTCACTGTTTGCAAAGTAAAGTTCATCAAGCATTAAAAAATGATCACTATACACAGAAAAGGTGCTCAGCGTACATTAAGATAATGTTCATGCAAATTCGAAAACATGTTCATCATGTATTTGAAAACATCATATATTGAAGCCTATCTAAAAAAATATTTAGTAAGTATGTTAAAAACAGAAGAAGAACGAACCCAGTGAATAAAAGAAGAAAGAAAGAAAAACCTAAAAATAAGCCAAAACCAGAAAAAAAAGCATAATACGATAAATAAATAGAAAAGAAATCCGGGCGAACGAGCCCAGCACGCGCGTCAGTAAAAGGCGAAACGAAAAAACAATTACAGGCCTTAGTTGGCCCAACTACCGGCCAGCGTTCGGCTATTGTATAAATAATGTCCTCTGCCTGGATAGAAACACGAGCAGGCCTTTGGCCGGGTGGCTAGCGCGCTACGCCCGCGTGCCGCAGGTCGCAGGTTCGAAACCTGGCGTGCGCGATTTTTCGTTTACTTTATTTATTTGTCCAGTTCGTTGAAAACTTTCGAACAAGTCCGAGCAAAAAAAATTCTCTCACGGTTAACATTTTTCCTGCAAAAATAACGGGTATTTATGTGATTACGTATAAAGCAAGGGGGTTTTTTGCAAAAAATATGCCACGTCGGCACCAGACGGGCCCCAACTGTCAGATACACTGTCAATACGTATAGATACGCGTTTTAGCCTGATTTGCAAAAATTTGGACGAATGTTAGTACTGACACGCAAAAATTAGCAATCGTGCTATCAATCTGCATGTGATGCCGGTACTTCTGTGCAATTAACTCCAGGGTGATGGTGTGAGTAATGGAGTATCTTTCTTGATTGCAAGTGACGGCGGGCCTGTCCTGCTGCTCTCTTTGTGCTGCGCAGGTGGTCCATGATCGCGGCGCAGCTGCCCGGCCGGACGGACAACGAGATCAAGAACTACTGGAACACGCACCTCAAGAAGCAGCTCCGCCGGATGGGCCTCGACGAGCCCCCGCCCGGCCCGACCGCCGGCTGCCCCGCCGCGCGCCACATGGCGCAGTGGGAGACCGCGCGCCTGGAGGCAGAGGCGCGCCTCTCACTCCTCTCCTCGTCCGGCGCCGCGGCGACGGCCACCACCTCCGGCTCCGCGTCCTCTTCATCGACGGCGGCCGCCGGCGCCGCGGTGGCCGAGCACGCGAAGCCCGCCGACGTCTTCCTCCGCCTGTGGAACTCCGACATCGGGAGCTCTTTCCGCAAGGCGGCCGCGCCAGTGTCCGTCAAGGAGGAGGAGGCTGTGGTGCCGGGGGACGACTCCTCGGCGGCGTCCAACGAGATGGACGCGGCGGCGGCCGAGTACCAGATGTTCCTCGACTTCGCCGGCGAGGAGCTGGGCCTGTTCCACGGCCGGCACGGCGGCTTCTCGCTGTTCCCGCCGCTCGACGTGCTCGCCGAGGCGTCCCTGGACACGGCGTTCTAGCAAGACCGTTAGCGCGGGGATCGCGTACGTACATACGTGGTGGTATAAGTACCTCTAACGTACGCCTGTGCGCATGTACGTATGTTGTATATGTTTGCCTTTTGTGGCGTCCGGTGGGCGTATGGCGCGCGTGGGGAAGTAGTTAGCTAGTACGTGTGCCAAGCAAGATGCGCGAGAGATTTTTGGTATAGCAGTTAGCTAGGGCTTCAGTTTGGAGGTTTAACTGGGGCTAAGGCTGGACATCATGGTGTATTACGGCTTGTGATGGGAGTCTCTCCGGAGACGCTCTAATACATCGTTTGATGTTCGATCCAAATGCACCTCGTCTTCGATAAACCTTAGAGCATCTACAGTCGGACTTGGCAAATTCGGCCCCTCAAATGCGCACGGATGTGTCCGTGGGCAGTGATCGGACATGCCTCAAATTTCAAGAATTGCATCCACTCGTCGTCGGAGATGTCAACGATCTCCATGCCCAGCTCCGGCAGCTGCAGCTCCGCCTCTTTCGGCTGTTCCGCTCCGGCCTCCTCCGCCTCTATCTTCGCGTCGAGTTCGGCGAAGAGCGCGTCGGACTCCGCTTGCTCCTGCCGAAGGAACGCCTGATTGGCCTCCACATAGGCCCATTGTGGATGGACTCCAGGATGGCATGCTGCTCCGCCATCTTGTCGGACTGGGCGACGGCGAACTCCGCCTTCGTCTGCTCCATGTTGAAGCCCAGCAGCTCCGACTCATGCTGCTCCGCCTCCTCCACCTCCACCGGAGCCATCTCCTCCTTCTCCTCTTCCCCTGTCTGCTCCTCCTCCTCCTCCGGCTCCAGCGAGTCCGGAGGCAGCCCGGTAGCGATGCAGGCGGTGTGTGCGGCTTGTCATGTCCGGATCTTTTGTTGGATCTCGTAGCGGCGCTCCGGTGTCAGCATGGCATAGTAGGTGATCTTGCTCTGGACCATGACGGAGTGCCGGAGCGTGGGCGGAGCGTCGGACCGTGGGTATGGCGCCGGAGCGGGAGAGGGAGGAGGTAGATGGCCTCGGACTGGCGGCGCGAGAGGAGGGAGGTGGATGGGTTAGGGTTGCGGGACGCCGGCCGGCTTAAATAGCTGGATTTGGTCTTGGGCTGCGAGCCGGAGCGGCTCTGCGCGACGTTCACACCGCGGCGACGGACGCGGCGTCCCTCGGACTTCTAGGTTTCCGGGCGTTTCCGCGTGGGACCCCGTCGGGCGTGCCCAGGCGCACACATATCCGTCCCATATTTAGGCTGGATATGAGGGTGCCAATCAGCCCAGGCGTTTAAGGCCCGTTGGAGGGCCCGTCTGGGTCGACAAATCGTGACAGGTCAACCGAGCGGGCCGCCCAGCCGTTTGATGCCGGTTTGGGAAGCCCGGCTGTAGATGTTGTTAGGCTTTCTAAAGGAAGCCTCGGATGTTTCTACAACCTACTTACCTTGCAAGATGACCCATGGTTATATTTGTGAAATACGTACATATTTATACGTAAAAAATGAGTATAGTCAAAATATGATACATACTATCTAAAAAGTAGTATATACATCACTTAAACATTCTTATATACTACATACTACGCGTACATACTCTTTGATTTGTTAGATACTACATATAACATATGAAACTCAAGTGGTGTTAACTATCACTGGTGGTAGAAAACATTTGTCCATCTATTTATATTGAACATATAAAAGTAGAATAACTGAATGGAAAACATTTTTCTATGCATGATTGAACGTTGTAGTGGGTCTTTTCTCATATATGGTTGCATGTTAAGGTGAGTCTTATCTTGTTCATAGTTGTATGATGAGGCGCATGATTGTATGTTGAAATAAGTTTGTGGGATGACTCTCATAGTGAACATGACATGGAAAAAACCTAAAACATGAAGCGGTCCTTTGTCTTTCATAATTATTCGATTTTTACAAGAGCGAACTCTTGTGTTTTGGAAAAGCAAGGAAATAGGAGATAAATACAAACAACTTTTTAATTGCGAATTTAGCTAATTTGCATTTTGTATTTCATGCATTTTCGTAAATTACGTCAAAATGAGTGAAAATGCATTGAAGATCATTTGAAAAACACCTCGGTTGTTGTATAGCCAAGCTTATGTCCTTGGGGGGGGGGGCAAGGGTGGTCTAACAAATGTCGTTCATGTGTAGGTGAGCGAGAAGGACGAGCCGCCACCGTCACGTCCGAGGTAGTGGAGGATGCGGTCGCCCGCGTTCGCGATGGCGTTGTCGGGCACCTCCTCCTCTCGCTTCACCATGCGCAACTGCCGCTCAAAGTAGCGACGGGGCAGCAATGACGGCGCCACCTCCTTGCCGCATGAAAAACGACAAGGCATAGACGCCGGCTTGGCCAACTGCCCGAACTGGTTGCGTGGTGGCGACTGGGGCTCCTCCTTGACCCGCTTCTTCACGTGGCGTCTGAATTGGACATCACGGTTGCACCGGGGGAGGGGGGGGTCCTGCTTGACGTGGGGATGAGGTGGCGAGGTCGGCGCCGGGCAACGCTCGCGGTGCGACTTCCCGATCGCAAGCTCCATTATGGCGTGGAACTCCTCGCCAGTTGGCGCTTCCTCAGCGAGGAGGGACGGCGACATCTGCTAGTCACCAGAGGAGGATATCACAACCTCCTCCTTCACCGACAAAGCGATGGAGGACGACAACCCCGAAGACCGTGGGCAGCGGCGCCACCATCCGAGCTTCCTTCGGATCCACCTGCTGGTGCCAAGAACCACCCGCTTTCGTCGGACTTGCCCATCGCTCGGTCGAGGTGATGAGAGGAGAGAGTTGGCGATGGTGTGCAAGAAGGAGAGGAGAGAGCCAGCTACGGGTTGGCCGGCGCTGCTTGCCTGCTTAAATAGCCGGGGCAGGCAGACCGACGCCGCTTTAAACGCGACGCAGCGGTCGAAGTAGACTTCGCACTCACCACGTGAACATTGAAGTAGTGCCGACCTCTCGTTTGGTCACGTCCGTCTGACGGGCATCGTCTAATCGCGCTCGCTCTGGAGCGGCAGACCAGCATGAGTGTGCGACAGTCGTTTGAGAGTGGGACGCGTTGCGATGACTTTTTTGAGCGTGAACGGCAGGTGCTCTGCCTTTGCATTATAGAAGAGGAAAAATGGTCCAGTTAATAGGGAAACCGGACCCGAAAACCATACAACGCGCGGTTAATATGGGAAACCGGCAAAGACCACACCCAACAACTCATGGCATAGCATCTGTGCCGGAAACAAGAGCCCCCAGACCTAGGAATGGAGGCCATGCCTTGTATCCAACAAAGACGAACTCCGCAGACACCCACAAACTCTCTACAATGGCAGCACACCGAAGTGCACCCTCGCAACAGAAGTGGTCAAGCATTGGCCTGAACTAATGCGTGCACCACCTCGATCGCCTTGGGCGTGTGTTCCTTCTTGTACATCTGCAGATAGTGTTGCATATTCTCATTCGGGTCTTCCTCAGATGCTTTTCCTTTGCTCTTGAGTGTTGGAACCTCTCCAAAGGCCTCTGCCCGCCTATACTCCGCGCTCTTGGCTACAGGAATGTCGCAATCTTTGTTTTTCTTGTCCAAACGGTAGCTTCGTCGCTCTAAGAGAGAAGGGGCAGCCTATCCCACCTGCAAAACTTGCGGCGAGCTCGACACGGTGAGAGCAAGCTCTTCGAGGAACTCCCCCACGGAGAGGAGGCTCTCCCAAGAGGCTCATCTGCATCCATCTGGATCAGCTCCTTTGAGGCTTCCCGGTGCAAGGAGCACTGGAAACCTTCGGCTCCTCCAGTGTCGACTGCTCAACAGGCTCCACCTCAGACATAACCATGTCAAAACAAGAAGACACCTTGGCCCTCTACTCCACGCCTTGACTCACCATCCCGGGTAGGACAGAAGCCAAGTCAGGAGGATCATCCTCGAGCATGACCTTTTCCAAGGCAGGCGGATCATCAACGGACTGAGCCTTCTCACTCAACTCAGCTGAGCAGCCAGCCACAACAAGTGCACTGCAATCCTCACCAACGGCCACAGCAGGAGGAGCAGATTCAACATTGGCAAGGTCTTGGCTGCCCCCGATAGCTTCCATAGGTTCCCATAGGCTTGAGACTTGAGCAGTCCAACTCTCCACAGCAGCAACCAAGTCTTGAAGAGGCTTGAACAGCTCCTCAAGATGAGCAGTGAACAAGGCATGTAGCTCAGCGCCGAGCGCCTCCGCCTGAGCTGCAAGGAGAGGCCGCAAGGGCTCCAAAACAGTAGGAGGCACGCCGGGGTCAGCCACCGGCACGACACCATCAGTCGCAGGGCTGTCTTGATGAGAAACCACCGAAGCCCAAGTGCGACCAGGTCGATGAAGTGGGGCTGGAGGCGATCCGCTGCAGGGGGGAGGCCGCTGACGAGGCCCGGTAGGCGCGAGGGGGGACGACGAGGTTCTGAACCGGCAAGATGTTGTGCCAAGCACTCCCGCTCGCGATGGCCGGAGTGGCCACATCCCAAGCACCGGACAGGGCCGCGGCAGCCCGCGACGAAGTGGTCCAACGCCAAGCACCGAAAGCAGAGGCCGAAAGTCATCTGCTTGAAAGTGCGAGGCAGTCCAGCATCCTTCTTGGGAGGGGGAGCAGCCACCTTCTCCAGGCTCGGGCGGCGCCGTCTCCCAACCTCCACCCAAGCCGGGGCGGCCGAGGCCAGAGTGGCGGGCGGCGGGGTCAGAGCCACAGGGGCCGGAGCAGCCAGGTCCTAGGCGCCCGGGGCCAGAGCGGCGGGCGCCGGGGTCGGAGCCGCAGGGGC